AAAAAATCCGTTGGACCATAAGATAGCTTCCCTACGGATTATCCGCACGGAATTTCGCAACGAGTTTTTATTTTCCGTCGGGGAAACTTTCGTTTGCCATAAGAGTCAGCCTCAGTAGGAATAGTACATGCTTAATTGTTGTTGTCATATACCGTTGGTCAGTAGATCTGACATGGACACTGAGATAACAATATCTGAGGCAGGAACTGCAGGAGGGGGTCCACCCCTCCCCCTCCTATGTGACCCCGGTTGGGCCGTCTAGTTAGTAGACATGAAGTGGAGAATGTGGGCCAGAGGGGCAGACTACAGGGTCCCTTGATGGGAGAAAAAAAACATAAAAAAACATGTGTCGTGTGGGAAGTCGTGCTGCATGAAATATCTTTGGTAGCGACTGTGTCAAAAGGGAGGAGCACCCAGCTCCGCGTCACTCCTTGGCAGCGTAGATGGATACACGAGGAGGTAATTACACAAGTAGGAGCCTTGTGAATCTAAGATTCAAACAACGACCAGGCACGAGCGGGCGACAGATTGGACACTACGCAGTTATTTTCGTTAGTTCCGCCGCGTTTCCGTTCTTCGCCCTGAACAAAGAGACGCGAGCAACAGCCGCAACAATATCATTCAACACCTCTTCTGCGTCCGTCGGCACAACGTAAGTAAACTACGACATGTGAGCCTAGGAGTGGCATGCTGTGTAGGTGATTCGCCAACCTGCTGCTTGGCTGTGGCCTGGCGCGGTGGTAGTCTTATTTTAAGTTCACGCTTGTCAAGCAAGCAGTTAGCGCCAGGACTAAGAAGACTACATTCAGAGAGTCGGCCGGGTTCAGTCTCTTGGTGTTTGAAAAGGATCGTAGCAGGGAATGACGGGGGAACCGACGGTCGGGCTCGTTGGCATGAGTTCTGCTGCAGTTTCACTATGGTGACAGGCACCGGAGAGAAAGGTTGAGGAGAGATTTGATGCGATGAAACTCCGCGCGTCAGCCTCTACCTTCGGACGCCCTCCATCATGATGAATCTTGGCATTAAGTGAAGTAGAGAGTCACCACCCCAGCGAAACACCATTGCTTCCTGCATTCTTGTTCCAACAACGCTAAGTCTACTCTTGTGCTCGAAAGGGAAAGAACGACAAAATATGCACCCTTCCTTATCGTCGCCTCTCTCCGGACGATCGATCAGCTGCGACATGCACACACACACACACTCGTTTTCCGCTCCGCCCCCCCCGCCCTCGGCCACGACGCTTGACCGTCTCTGATTTTACGCCGCGATTCTCCTTCTTCGCTACTATAAACAGCGCGCTCGGCGGTTTAGTGCATGGAGCCCGCTCGCCAAGGGCGGGAGAAGTGCAGGTACGACGGTGACACCAGGCTCGTGGCCGGCTGCCTGCCGGTCACCCCGGACGGCAGGCTTGTGCTCATCGGGAGCCTCAAGCGCACGGACTGGATACTACCCAAGGGCGGGTGGGACACGGACGAGACCGCCGCGGAGGCCGCCGTCAGAGAGGCCTACGAGGAGGCAGGGGTAAGCGAGAGATGGATGCAAGGAAGCACCCTGGCGTACTATGTGTGTGGTATGTGTTAGCACTCGTGCTTCGTTGATACACCATGCGTTTGCGTAATGTCGGCTTGCTGGCATGGCGGCAGTTTGAGCCCCCCCCCCCGA